GAAGAAGAAATTCTCTCCCTACTAACCTCATTTGCTACACTCCTGCCCCCAGTATTCCTTTGATTACTGACACACTCTTGTTTGTTTTAGGATGGTTTATGAAGATGAGGAAGGAAGAGGATGTCCCTTTCAAGTAAACAAACCCCACATGATCTCTGGGGTTGTCTGAAATGACAGCAGGAAAGGAGAAAGCATATTTTAATACTAAATTTTTCTTTAGATGAAAATCTCTACCCCACCCCCCGGGTCACAGAGCTAAGGATCATGGGCAAGTACACACCAGGACTATTTATGACACAGCCAGCTAGGTGTCCCTGACCAAAGACAATAAACAAGTGAATGCCTATAACTAAATACATGCATCTCTCAACTCAGTGACAGGTAGTGTGTCTGAGTATAGAAACTTTTAAAAATATCCAGGTTCAGACTGCGACTACTCAAGCAAAAGCTCAAAGACATGTATCATTAGAAGCTATTATTAATATTACGAGTACATAGATTCAACATTCTGGTTGCAATAGACTATTTCAATTATTTTATTTGCAGTTTTCTATTATTAAAATGGCCTATTCTTTTAAATTACATTTTTACTGAAATTCAGTAAAGGCAAAAAAAGTCAAGGCAAGGCAAGAAGTCAATCACAACTCTATAGTGTATTTAGCCTCTCAAAAAACTTATTAAAAAGATGATCTACAAGACAAATTCTCTGTCAACTTTTTCAACTAAATAGCAGCAGCAGAGCAACAGCAATGTTAACTGTACCCACAGTAAGCCAATTCCGTGCCCATATATTCTATTCACAGATTAAGCGGTCCAACCTGAGTACAATGACCACACTAAAACACACAGGCCATGCATCCTGGCTACCCAAGTCACAACTGAACACCCTTCTACAGCTCATCACGTAATTGCATTGTGAGTTTGGAATGAGACATGACCGTCTTAGAAGCCACACATATGGTTCTTCTACTGACAGCTCCTTTGCCTCTGGCTGTCAAGGGACCGGCTGATATTTTCTTTCATCACCAGTGACCACCTCATAAAAATCCATATTTTCATGTTGCAGAATTAAATAATCTTTTTCAATCAGGGATTTAATGTTGGCAAACTGACAATGATATCTAAGTCTGTTAGCTGTAACATTATTTGTAATAAAAGATATGCATTTTCTCTATATCAAAGGAGTACAGTATAGCAGCACATTACCACCATCTATTAGAACCTAATGGAAACAAGTAGTTTCAGCTAACTTTTGTGTAAATTTTCTTTCACTAGTCCACATATCAAACCGTGTGGTACAAAATAGGATTTTTTCCTTCAACTTTATTTAATGCTGCCAAAAGAATGAGGGTATATTAAAAAAAGAAACTTATACAGCTATTTTCTACTTTGACACTTTGGGCAACTATTTAGACAAGTAGTTAGTTTTGTTACATATTATGCCTTTCCTTAGAACTTAGTCCCAAAACATTATATTGTGTCAAAGAACAAATCCTCTCTTTTACGATATTTCCTCAGTTTTTTTATAAAGTGAGCTACTCTAAAAGTCAAGTGTTGACACATTCAGCAGTTGATTCTCACTCCTTTCCAACTAGAACATAAGTTGAATGATAGAGCTCCACTTCAGCTGTAAAACAAATAACCCCATGCGGACAGGCTTGAAGATTTTTCCAGTACTAGTTTTAATAAAGAAAAAAAAAAAGGGGAAACTTACCAAGTCATAAAAAGGTCATTAACTGTTAATGTAACTATGTCCTCTTACAAGGCAAAACTACCCAAGCCATTGCATTTTGAATACTATCATTACTGGGGGAGAGTAGCTGCATGCACACATGCACATATGTAAACACACGGTTCAAACATCCACAGCTTTTATAGGTCTAATCCTACAGACTTCACAGGCTCCAGCAGATTTCATTGACTTCACTAGTACTACTCACAGTGTACCAAGTTAAGTATTTCATCTTTGCCATAATATAGCCAAATACCCTAATTTTGCAGAAAGATGCAGGCAAATAAACCCCATTTTGTAGTGAAATCTTCACTGATTTCATACAGGCTCAAGGATATCTACACATAGATACACACACCCAGTAATCCTATACCTTCTGTGAGTTTATGAGCACCGCAAAGGAGGTACAACTGGTTTTGACAGACTAACATGGTACCAATCGTCTAGTACAGACAGACAGCTGTCTACTTCATGACACTGATTCGGAATAGTTACATGAAAAACCAGTACTTTCCTGGGAGGCAGCATGTACCTATTCAGTGGGCACAAAAGAACTTAAAAACTCTGTGATGTTTCCATACTGTAGTCAGTCCTGTATAATTTCCTCCTTAACCCTGACAAACATATAAATGTTTTCTATATCATCAGAAGTAAAGAAATGCCTTCAAAAGAGCTGCAGCATTGTGTTGTTCTAAATATAACAAGCATGTTGTAAGGTAACAAGAAAACATGCTCTTAATGCAACAACCTGTTTGCAAGCTTTTGAACATTAGAGAACAACATTATAAATACTGAGAAAACAGAGGAGTAAGTGGACACTTACTCCAGTTATGCTTATAAGAAGTTGAATAGTTTCTTGCTTGATTAACTCCACCATAGCTTCTTAGTTATTTTCTAAAACATGAAAAGAATCTAAGAATGCTTGTGTAATCAACTTCAAAAGACAGTAACTGTAAGCACTGCTTCTAGGTACTTTTAACATGTATACTTAGCACTGCCATGAGCTGCCTTATTATTTATATACTTATTCATATTTATAGTCATCTTATTATTATTTTTTTAAATTAGCCCTAGACACTGAAGACTAAGCAGTGACAGTCCAGCGCTCCTTGATGCTCACACAGCCCTTTAAAAAAAATAAATTAAGGCCTCAATTCTACAAATATTAACACAGTATAATTTTACTCATGCAAGTAATAACACTGCGTTGAATTACTTGTGCAGGTAAAGCAACATGCATGTAGGTACTTGATGGTTTAAACCCAAGGGAAAATTCCCAATAGATGAATACCACCATCTAAAACTTAAAACTAACCTCCTTGAATTTTTGCCCTTCCATAAGCCATCCTCTCCCAGAAAAGGCTGTAAGAAACAAGGAAGGTTTGCAGTATCCCCTGAAGAGCAACAAACTCAGGCTCTGATTGACCTTGGGAAGAAGAGCACTACATTGAAAGACACTACCTTTAAAAGACACCTCAGTTTCTGTTTCTGTTTTTCAAAGATAATAACTCTATCAAATAAATCAACTGTTCAAGATTGTTATGCCTACACTGGCTAAACCTAGCATTTTACACTCTGTCATGACATCCAATTTCTTTAAATTAGTAAATTCTCTTTAGGCAACATAATACGGTTGTGAAATAATTTAAGAGCATGCAGCCTAGAATACTACAAACATGAAATAAACACTAAGTGCACACAACTGAACAACAGCTGCAGTGATCTGAGCTCATTTCTATTACACCCAGTGCAATAAGTCATGAATGGTCAAGTAGAAAACAGCTCTGCGTGTCTGGCTTCTTTATGAAAAGCAATCTGCTTCTGTCTAGCTTTGAAAATAAACATTGGATGGCTAAACAAAAGGATGTGTTTACTTAATTAAATACATGTGCACACTGAAGCAAATAACTGCTCCTTAAAAGGTAAAAGAAGTACTCAATTTAGACCCCGAAAACCTACTGTTCAAACTATTTAGAAGGCATGTCTTGCGCTTGAAAAACAAGATGGGGAAAGTCTGCCACATTTCAAGAAACTTTGCATGACTGGCCCTATACCAAGATTTCAAGTGATACCATCAAGGTTTTAAAAAACAACCACCACCACCAAAAAACACTTGCCTGAAATTCTTTCCCCTTTTTAAAGCGAAAATAATAACAATAATAAAGAAAAGATTTCTCTTTATTTACTGCAGGCATTTGACAGCACTTTGTGCCCAGCCCTTCTCACTGTTTCCCCTTTGGGTTTATTGTTAGCCCTTTGTGTAAGAGAAAAATATTGGTTTAGAAGAAATCAGGCATGCCAGGTAAAACAGAGAAGTTGACAATAAGGAAGTGCCTTTCCGTCAGGTCAGATGAGGTGCTTGCAGTGACTTTTAACTTTGCAAGCAGAGCAGACTGGAGCCCATGCTACAATCCCCAGGGCCTCGGCCATCCCCAAGCAGCAAGTATCACCTGAAGGAAGCTCCTGGCTCTTCCTGGAACCAAAAATTCCCAGCTGAAATCTACCCCTGACCTTGCCTATGGGATGGTTTCACACCCACAGCCCTCAGAAAGGGGGGAGATGCAATTAGGTTCATTATGCACGAAGGTCACCTGCCAGTTCCCAAGGCTGAAACTCAGCACCAGCTCCCCCCCGCCCCCGGGGGTACCTCACATCCCTGTGTCCCGCACCACCTGCCCTTTAGCACCCGGGTCCATTTGTCCACAAGACGCCCCGCATGCGGCCGGCTGCCCAAGTAGGATCCTGTTACCTCCCAGCCCCGCGGCTCTCGCCGCCCAGTTAGGAAGTGAGCGCGGAGCCCGCCAGGTCCCCGCGCCCCGGAGCTCGGGGAGGCACCTGGTGCCCGGGCCGGGGAGGGGCTCGCTATCGCGCTCCAAAGCACAAAGTTTCCCCGGACGGGGGCCGATGACAGCCACCTGAGCGGACCTGCTCCCCGCACCCAGGCCTGGGCCAGCCCGCCCCGAGGGGCTCCGCGGCCCTTCCCCGGGGAGCGCGGGATGGAGCCCCCCGTCTTACCTTCTGGTCCACTATGGAGCAAGCCATTTCGCGGACGTGCGCCAGGCTGAGTTCCCCAGCGGAGTCCTGCAGCAGCAGCACCGGCTCCCGGCTCAGCCCGATCTGGAGGTGGAAGGAGACGCCGCCGCCGGCCGCCGGGAGCAGCGGGCTGGGCGGGCGCAGGAGCGGAGGGGCGCTCATGGAGAACTGCCCGCGGGGCGCAGGGGCCGGCAGGGGACAGACACACACAGACACACACACAGCGCCGCCGTCACTGCTGTGCCGCGGGGCCCCCCGGCCCTCCCCCCACCGCCACGGCAAAAAGTTTCAGGGAAGTAGTTGTCGCCGCCGCCACTCCCGGCCGAAAATGGCGGGGGGAGGAGGAGGAGGACGCCCGGG